CTTTTCGTTCTAAGCAAATTTCGGCTGAGTGAATATAGATCAACTGTGCCTGATTTCCCAGTCAGCACAGCCTACATATATTTAAGAGACAAACAAAGGAAGGCTGTGGAGCGCACTTCTACAGCGATTCTTGTATTCACCCGGGAATATGGGTCCTGAATATAAAAAGTCACCATTCGTTTCAGATAAGAACTATTTGGGGTCGAGGCAATTGGAAGTAAATGACAAAAGTTTCGAGATATGATGGACGTGTTATTTTCTTCTGGTCAGGCGGTACCGGGAAAAGTTGTCGAGTACAGGGGTGATAATGCACAGTAGAATTTGGTCATTAAAATACTTGACCGAAAATATACGTGAATTTTGGATCGCCTTCTGTATGTTGCAGTTGTACCAGAACAATTTGTAAAGTTCATGGCACATGAATGTGTTTTTGACACCATAGTTCATGGTGCGTTCTGAAGAATACAAGAAATAGTGTGTACACGTACATGTACATTTACATGTCACACTCGGTGAAGTTTTCGGACATACTGTGTCCTGTAGCGCTCATCACTTTCATCGACTCTACATACACGGCAACCCTACATTCAATCAAGATTTCAAGCAAGCACTACCTCACCAGAAGAACCAATCTATGGAGTTATAAGACATTGTTTTATTTATTCAGGCTGATGAGATGAGCGCACGCACTTCTTCCGCCAGGAGTTGAGTCTCTGGCACCAGCCCCGTATCCACAATACCAACCCCCAATGCTGCCGCAAACTGTGATGAGGAAGGATAAACGGGTTTCAATTCGGTCAGTGCTTTGCAGAACCCAAGACCAGGCTTCATCACGAAATCATACTATGATACAGAATAACACCCCCAGAAGCACTTCAGACAGTCTTGCATGGAGCATTGATTCAGGGCCCGCATGGAACCTGAGTATCTACATTGTCGCATACTCCTCCACATGTGTAATGGAAGACACGACATTGTGACGATAGTGTTGCATCGCAACTCTCATCCAACCGCACATACTAAACAAGCTGGTACCGGCACGCATTTCCCATCACAAGAAATAACGACAAGATATACTGTACGCTTAGGAGATATTTAAGAGGTAAATCAGACTAAGCAGGCACAAATGGCTCGCAGCATCTACGATTCGTGGGCATATTGTCCATACCTCTCTTGCACCGGGATCGGCAGTCACAACCCCTCCTAACGCACACAATAACTGATGATATATTTGCTCGTTGGCTATGTTATCCGAGTGTTGTAGGGCTTCTGACAGTATGTGGGTCAATCGGATACATTGCTCCTCAGTAAGACTGAGCTTAGGGAACCTACGAATTAAAAAAATAAATACACGAGACTAGAATCGGTAATAAAATTGACTTCCGTCGACCACAAAACTTTGAAAATTGCGACGTTTGTAGCGCATATCGTGTCCTTGTGTTAGTTGCCAACAAAGCTACAGGACCCGACTGTTAGCATGACGCTTGACACACAAGTTAACGTTTACAGACAACTTTGCCGCAGCTACGACCACACAAGCATATCACACCACAAAGATACACAAACGCACATAAATGTTTGACAAGGCGAGAACATCTCGCTTGATACCCAGGCTCTCCTACGGCCAGAAGTAGGACGTACCCCAATACAAAAGCGCCAAATAAGTCTTCCATCCGTATGAAACTTATCTAGGGTCAATGTCTATGTGTTTATCTAAATTGCAGATATACTAATAGACCCAACGACCTGGAGAGCTCGTATATACAGTACGCGCTGAATGCTAGAGGTCGAGCACTCCCTTTTGACCTCAAAGACGTCGATTGATCCAACTTCGAAATACAAGTCATTTTACAACAATGATACTTCAGAAAAGTAGCCAAGGCATACAGCCAACACAATTCACTTTGAACACAAATAATCAACAACTGAGGGGTCGAACAGACTGTTATCATCTGATGGCCCTCGGCTCAGTCCAATACAAAGAGCAGACACTCTGTATGGCACAGACATAACTCTCTCTTAGCCGTTAATAGTTCAGACTAACACACGACTTATAGCACACTAAATTACCGTATATTCGTGCCAGCCAGGTTGCTGCTGAGAGCAGCAGCTGTAGTACGCACGTCTTCATGAGGAACGGAGAAACTCGTCTCCAAGACTTCAAATAAGTGGTCCATTAATAAAACATCATCTACACCGGCAGTAGCAGAACCTACAGATTGGCATAAAAAGCTCAACTTATGACTATGCTTGGAATTCATTTCGAACGGTTCACAATTGACACACCTTAGAATTAGTCAGCATGCATTGATGAATGCTCTGAAGCCACAGGATACCACAAAGCGAGAACTTGATGGATTATATGGCATTTCTGAAAGACTCTAAGTGTGTATACCCATATATTTGATAGAGTGCACACAACCTCCGCTCTGCCGATGGGGCGAGAGAGGAAACCGAACGAGTGTCCTGACTAGTAAATATGCACATTGTGGTTTGCATATATGCTTAATGCTATATAAAACCGATTTAACTTAATAAGTAAACCTTCGATTCTCACACAATCGCTGTGACATACAAATGTGCTGACATGTGCTACATTGTGAGTCCCAGAAACTTGATCAGATCTGAACTAATCTGTACGCATCAGTACAAAAGTGGAAACGAAAATGCCCATAGTTATGTATATACAGTCAAACGCCGATACTTATTCGACAGCAATGACGCAGTGGCGACTTGTATCACACTCCCATTCAAAGCTGTCCCTGCACACCGGAGTTTACATTTTAATTCCTGAGCTCAAAATTGATTACCGCGATTTCTGTATCAAGTGTCAGACCAGATACCGATGGCTGTCACTTCACGAATCATGCAAACGAACAACAAACACAATCACCACGGATTTATCATTTAGCACTCCCTCTCTCTCCCTCTACCACATACACTAATACAATCATCGTCGACATACCATTTCCAATTTGCTTCGACAATATCTCCTGCACGCCTTCCTCGTAGGCAAAACAATTCTGCACACAACGCAAAGCCATCAGCAAGGTCCCTCTCGAGTGTGTAGGTTGGCCGATCACATGTGCGTGTAGTAACTCATTTAGCAGCGCCGACGCCCGCGCACAGCTTTTGACATCATCGACTATCATCAGACGAAGCAGGTCTAACGCTGGGAACACCTGCGCAGAAATCATGCACAGAGAGGAGGACGGGTTACATACTCGTGTGTTCACATCATGGATGTATAATGTACTTATATACACATATGTCATCTGATAATTGAGTTGGATATATACCGAGTTAGATAGATTGAGTTCGATATAACATGTACATGATTGGATACAGGGTATCACAATACGCGGGGAAGATAGGAACAGGCACATACACATTCGAGTTCACCAGTAGCTCAAAACATACACGTTTTCGCATGCAGAATAGAACCCATCAGTATGACACGCTAACAGCTATCAGCAAGTAAACTATACACATGATTGGACTATGGAGGACGCCTTCACAGCTCATACGATCATGGAATACATATTTCTACACTCCTAGAACAGTTGTTTCAGCGCTAATCGAGGGACTTTGATGTCGCTTATGTCGCCGATATCTGATGACTGCAGGAGACTAAGCAGTGAACAAGGGTAAAAACTACAGATCCAACGTATCACAAGTCCCAACAGTGTTTAAACAATCAGACGAATGAAAGTCCTACCACATAGTATACAAATAACTTCAGACAAGTAGACAGATTGTAGTCAGATTTAGATTCAGAACGAGCATACCTTACTGGAGGGCAGCTTGAGACACAGCACCAAAACATCGTCCAAAACAGGCGCCGAGGGTGTTGCAATAGGCGGTAGTTTGTATTCCAAGGCAAATTCATTCAGTTTGTTCACAATCTTAACCCGATTACTAGACGATGTGTTGAGCACTGGGGACGTCAGAGACTTTGCTATATTGGTTGGCGGGCTATTTGCTGCCGAAAAATGTATTGTAGGATGGAACATTATTTCGTGATGAGTCGAACAGGTCTTGGATACAACAATTCCATCACATCGCGACAACGACTCCGTTTTTACAGGGAGCGAATAATCTCTATGGACTCGACAGTGGAAAATCAAAATTCGAACGACCAACCCTGAAACCCAAAAAATGTGTACCTGTTGTGCTATTTGCGGAGGTAGAAGTAGGCTGTGAAGTACTCTGATGTCCGAAATCAACCCGTTGCTGGCCTGCCGCATCTCGTATGTTCTGTTGCATACTTTCTATGAACGGCCGCAGAATGGCGCCGAAAGGACCACTCATAACTTCATTCGGCAATCCAGTGATATAGCTGTGAGTGACAGAATCCCAATCAAACCGATTGTCAGCAATCACCACTATAGTAACAATCAGAACTAACAAACGTTCAATAGTATATACAAATCAGCTAAACGATGTCAAAATAATATAACAAACCCACGTAATACACACAAGACAAACGAAACCAGCAGGGCTCACCGCACAAAATAACACACCTGGGGATATCTTTTCCGACGAGATAATTTGCAACGTCGTGCGAGAAGTTGTTGCAATTGTTCTGTAATATGTGGTAGGTCTCGACAGTGAATTTCTGCTCCATAGTGGCCAGGTGATCCAAAAATTGTTCTCTGGTCTTGTCCGTGGTGCCCAGATCCACAACTGAAAATAATGCACAATTACAAACGGAAATCGATATAAATAAAACCTATAGTCGAGCATGATTGAAGTAACTAACATAAAACGACATAGAGTGCCTGTCTGATACAGTCAAAGCGCGCGAAAAATACGAATGATAACACCACAAGTTTGGCATATACGTATCATAAACTTTCGTCTGGAAAATCTCACACAGACAACAATAAAAAGATATAGAATCATGAGCCTGGGCACTAGAACTCTGATGATATATGATACATGCATGCGTACTGATACTGAAAGCCATCTGGCACCAACGTCCGCTTACACAATCATGTGACAGTGTCATTAAACATACGCAATCAAAACCACACCAGCACATGGCCCAACCACACCAACGTCCACATAGACAACCATGTGACAATGCCATTAAACATACACACTCAAAACCACACCAGCACATCAAACAGCCAAATGACACAATGCCAATAAATCACTGCTGGGACGCCGTGCGGACTGAAAGCGTAGAATCATAGGGGTGATTTATTTGTTCATATTCAGGCTAAAATATGTCTCTCACAGCACCCCACCCACCCACCAGCACAGATGATACACGCCCTATCACCAGCATTCACGTATACACACACACACACACCACGACACCCCACACATACAAACACACACATTCACACACAATCACACACACGCTCGATTACACACACTAACTCACACTCATTGACTAATACGCACTCACTCACACTCAATCATGCGAACACCCCTTCAAACTCAAACACAAACTCTCATAAGACACACCCATACACCCACACACGCGTACATTCACACACACACACACACTCTCTCTCTCACACGCTCACTCACATTAACTCGACACACACACACACACACACACACGCTCGCTCACTCACAAAAACTCACACACACACGCGACTCCATACACACTAACACACACGCCTACTTACTCACTCATACTCGCTCACTCAATCACACACACGCTCTCACACACGCGCTCACAAATACACTAACCCACACACGTGTAGGCACACACAAGTGTACACACACACACACACACGCGCGCATACACATTTAACACACACGCTTACTCACTAACTCACTCAGTCTCATTCAGTCACTCACACTCGCTCTCTCTCGCTCACACACATTCTCTCACACGTTCAGATAGAATAATATTGGACCCCATTATATATTACAAGGGGTTTTTTCTCTGAAATAAAAATAGGTACTTTCTTGAGGGACCCTCCCCCCCCACCCTGACATTTACTCAACACACACACACACACACACATACACACTATTGCTCTGTCACACACCCATACTCGTACACACGTGCACTAAGATGCAACACTCGTAATAAACACACACACTCATTCACCCACACTCACACACACGCTCACTCCCAGCTCCTCACTAATATTCACACACGTGCACACACACACGTGTAGCCGTGCAGTACGTGTACGTGTACACTTTCGTTGTGAAAAATCGACTAGGGTATATTCTAATCCCCCCCATAGCCATAGTCCAAAGCCGGCCATAGGCTCTATTATGGACCCCAATATTTTTTTTCTCAGAATTTATCATATATATATATAGAAGCTTATTAGGGGGCCTAGAGATGGAGAAAAAATGTTCCAGACAGATCCCAAGTCTCCAATGAACAGGAACTCTACAGCTACACTTTCAGTAGTAAACATACACTATCAAAAGCACACCAGCACATGGCCCATCTCACATCAACGTCCACTTAGACAACCATGCGACAATGCTATTAAACATACACAATCAAATCCACACCCGCACATCGACATCCACGGCATGTGCATTGAGCTTCGTACACATCGGCGGACAGCAGATACGTCTAAGGACAATATCAGATAAAATCAGCACACATGTCACATAGAATGGTGTGGCACTACAACAAACCCAACTCGATCTACCTGCGCAAATCAGAAAAACAATGTGCGTGCACGCACACGCACACACACACACACACACACACACAAACACACACACATATATATATATATTAGCACACAATCCGAATCGATACAAGTTTATAGGATAGTCATGAACATCCTATATATCACGGACTGACTACATTCAAATAAACCAACATACCACTAACGGGCGTGCCGTAAGGTGTATGATCGGGATCGCCGACGCAGATGCCTTGACCGAAATAGTATTCGCGGCCAAACACTATGATTCCAGTGTGCCATATACCGTCGATCTAATTATGGTGAAAACGTAAGTACACACAGAACATAAGTATACAAATAAATCGACAAGTATGGAACCATATCGGTCCAAGCAAAAATCTTGACTAGCAGTGCCTATGTGATAGACTACGTCAGCTTGATCCCAAGAGTGTATTATTGACCCGTTCGAAAATTTGGTCCATCCTGTCACAATACCCGTGGAAGTGTGTATATAGGGATACAATAAAATAAGACAAACTATACAGAGAGTGGCGAATGGTAGAAATTTACTTCTAACATAATAGGGAGAAACAAGAGTATATACAAAAAGAACCGTTGTTTATTGGCTCACAAACATAGGCTTCGCGTATTCCGCGTATGTTAAGACACAAAACAATATCATATATATAGAGGCCAATGCGTTGTCGATGTGATATCTAGCGTGATGTTATTACAACAAAACACCACAGCTCACAGGGGGCTATTATATCACAGACACACTAATCGATACTCAAGTATCTGATCCCTTCACCACAAACATTACTGATTTGAAACGCCAATCAACGTATGCAGATACACGAAATCTCTGTATGGATGCGCCTCAGTTATTAAATCCATGAGCTACAACAAAAATGAACCGTGGTTCATGTATACACACTTAAGTAGAACACATCCGACCGTCGAAGGGTAAGCCAAAATACACAACTCCAAAGGAATATGGATGCATGCAGGTTCCAGGGTGCTTCATACAGACAAACAATCCGAGTTAGGATATACATACAATCGCGTATGCAGTCAAAACGCAAATACAGGATTCATATATACATACATTCGAAGATACAATCAACAAAAGTTGAGCTGATTATTTGCTATCCAGGTAACACATAAAATTAAAAATAACTCTCAAAACAAGAATCAAGCCAATTACCTGCAGTCCAAGTGCTAAACACATTCCAAAATACATTCAGTATACTAACAAGGATCGAGCCAAATACCTGCTATCCAAGGGTTAAACACATTCAAAAATACAAACACGACACAAAATAAGAGTCGATAAAACACCTGTTATCCGAGTGTTACATTCATTCAATAATATAATCAATAAACAAACACATGACTCGAGTTACTCATCCGCTATTCGAGTGCTAGTATATTCAGGAATACTTTCTACATACAATGACAAGCGTCGAGTGATAGGCCTGTTGTTCGAGTGCTAAAGTAGATACAAACAATATGCAAAATAAGAGGCGAGCTACTTAACAACTATCAAAGCTCTATATACATTCAGAGTACACTCAATACACAAAACAAGAGTCGAGATAACTGCATGCTGTCCAGGTATTACATACATTCAAGATGCAATAAAAACAAAAATGAGTCGAGCTTCTTATTACCTGCTTTCATATTTTTATACATGCTTTCAGAGGTACAACCAACAATCAAACTAGAGTGTGGTTAAATATCTGTTGTCCAAGGGCTATTCACATAAAATCAGTACACAAAACAAGAGTTGAGCTGCTCACCTGCTGTCCAAGAATCTGCCGCGAGAAATTCTTTGCCATCCCTTGTGAGAGGTCGTAGACGTGTAGGATAACTTTGTTGCTCATAATGTTAAGCAGGTAGTGAGGACTCGAAATGTGAACACTGGAATATGTAGTTACTGTAGTACAATATACGCTTGAATACTAGATGGTAGTAGTTGTTGATAGCTATATATTTCAGGGTGGAGACTGAAGGCCGTTCACGACAAGACTTCCCGCAATATTTACATGAATACACATCGTCAACGACTACGAGAGACTACGTATTGTCGGACAGAGAAAGGCTTTATCGAGAGAATTCACGAACATTTCAATGACATGATTTATTTATATTTCATTGGTTCATTGTACCAGATCATTCCACAGTTGAAAACCCGCCATATAGCCTAGAATAACCTGGTTTATACTTTATTTGTGTTTTTATCGTACAATCCCACGGTTGAAAAACCGCCAAACAACAGAAAAAACGTGTGCATCGTTAGAGTGAGGGACTCACTTGAGTCACTGGCCCAGCCGCCCGAGGGATCAGTCGGCAGGGATGGGTGCATATTTGTTTTAAAATTTCTTTTTGTAAAATATTAACAAAAAAAATAAAAATATTGTGTTTATTTACATAGAACTGTCAACTGACACTAAAATATTTTATTTTAGATACACTGCAAGTGCACTGCTATTGAGCCGTTCCCCAGTTGCTATTTAAAATATACATAAAAATATACAGCACGGGTAATATAGGTAGAGATGGTTCTGCGTTCTCTTAAGACGAGCGCTCTGATAGTCAACTCGTTTCGATATACCAGGAACGTACAACAAACGAATTCCTTGCATACTCATAGTAATCGTGTTGCTCAACTTTGTACTTATACTCTTACAAGTACAAGTATCAGTACAAGTAGTCTGTTCGAGGCGATGGCTCGAACTAAACGCAGGGCTCAGAAGTCGACTGGGAACGATAAACCCTACAATCTGAGGAATGGAAGTAGCTATTACCATGGGGACGGGGACAAGAATAGCAAGCGAACTAAGATTAGTAGTCGGAGTGACGATGAAGAAGCGCCCGACAGGGGTAGTGACGTACGTGCCCGGCACTCTGAGACCACACGTGAGAGTAGGTCC